CCCATTATATGCAAACTGGCAGGCGACCACGATTGGTCGAAAATTAGCGTCGACTCCGACTCTCTGATGTGCCCCATCGTCCGCAGCGAACAAGACTCAATAACCCGAGTACTAGAAACTGGGAGACGGGCAAGAGAATCGTAATTTGCCGCTCCGCCGCGCGCGGCGATGGGCGCGGCGTTTTCTCAACTCGTGTTAACCTGTCGATTGGAGCACCGGACTTCATGTAGACCCCGTCATCGTAGACATTCATGACTATTTTCGGTTCTGAATTGCCTGTTGTCGCCATCTACTACCTGGAACCATCGTCATTTGCGGGCGACGTCGCACGCCCACCAGCGCGAGGAGTTACGATTCTCTTGTCACATACCCCTAGAAACTACTCATCACCCCTGGACCATTTATTTCCTGCCTACTTTACCTCATGTCAAGATGAGAACCCAGTAGACACTCAGCTGCCTCTGCTGGTGGAATCCAAGGGCGTTGCCGAAATCCAGGTGATTGATTAGCGCTGTTTTTCATATGGTGTTGTTCTTCTTGTAGCTGAGCGTCATTATGGCCTCTTGAAAGATCATCTCAAAGACTTACTGCCGCATTCCAGACTTCATGGAGTGTGGATTTTAGCTATAATAAAAGGAATAAGGAATAAATTTTCAGCACTATTTAAAACTTCTTGGAAGGCGCTGTTCATTCCACTTCCTTGAGAATCCTAGTGTCATTTTGATCGCATTTCGCCTCAATGCAATGACTTGCGGGGGCCGGCCAATGTACAGTCTTGTTCGCTGCCGAGGAAGAGGCGTGTCCGTGAGGCTCTGTCTGGTGCTCCGCCAGCCCGTTCTCTTCTAGTTGCTGGAGCGCATAAGCGACCACAGTGAGTGGAAAACGACTGATGCGAATGATATGATACAGTCTTGTCGCTTGTCGAAAGAGAAAAAGGAAGAAAAAGAGAGTTGGCATTGCGCCAAACCCATTTCCCTTGACGCGCCCCTCACCGCAGCGAACAAAACTATAGAAGTCATCGTTTTTGTCCTTTCGACAAACCTGGTGCCAATTAAAGGTCCTCTAAGAGGATGGAATTTTTGATGGGAATAGTGGCTGTCGAGCTGGGGTTTGACCACCGCACCGTTAGCGTTCTAGTTGGCACCATATGCCACTACTCCACCTCCACCCACGAAACATTCTGCAATACTCCAATCTTACTCAGCTTTAGGATGATCCGAGATAACTAAAGTACAGGTTTTCTCTTTCAGATGAAAGGTTGAGGGAGAAAATGGCGGAACTCGTTAAGCTTTCCGGTTCCGGTTAGGCCACGTATTTGACTTTAGGGCCAAATTGAAGAGAGTATATCGTCTCCGTAATCAGGGCCCTCGATTACCCCTCGATATTGCAGTTTGCAACGAATTTGAGGTGGTGGTCGGTTTGATGGGGGCAGCAAATGGTACTCAGCGAAACCAACACAGGCCACCTTATGAATACCCGTAAATTCTTGAAAGCAAGGCGGCTCTCTTGTACCCTT